ATTTCAAAAATATGATGGTTTCCTCACGATGTTTTCCTTCACCGCTGAGCACGTGATAATTCGGCACTTAAAATTAACAATTTCATTGGTGCCGGCACCGGGGATCAAACTCGGGTTGGTCGAGTATATTGAATTAAAGGCGAGCGCCCAGACACTGAGCTATCACGGCTCCTAGGAAAGTATCGTGCTATAAGTATTTTCGTTATAGCTATAATAGACACTCATCTCAAAAGTTGTAAAACAAATGCAATTAAAACATCTGTAATCATTGTTATAAAAAGAGTTATTTTATGGTTATAGTCGATGGGAAGTGTCAATGACGTTACATACAAAGATATGACACTACCGCAACAAAATTAAGGCACTCAAATAACACCAATTGATGTAATTAGATTGACCTATCTCTTTCCGTATCTTACGTTCTATATCACCTATCACATCCTCCTTACTAATATTATAAAGGAAGTTTGTATTTATGGATGGATGTTTGTTACTCTTTCACGAAAATACTAGACACTGAATGGATTTAAATAAAACTTTACAATAATATAGCTTATACATCAGAATAAGACATGGGCTATAATTTGTATACGTATTTTATGTATATCTGTCTTTCTGTGTGAATGTTACGCCTTCAGCCTAATCTACGCAGACGTAGTCGCGGGCAGCAGCTAGTACAATAAATAGCGGAACAATTTTTAAACGCCGCGCAATATGGACATGCGTCATCTAAATTATTAAACATCATTGGGGAAGCGTTCTATAAGCATATGTGTAGTATATTATAAGCGCATGTTATAAGCAAGCTTCTCTGTAAAATACTGGTATTGTAATCAAACTTGTATTTTCCAATTTAATAACGTATTTTCAAAGCGTTTGATTGCATCAAGAATAAATGGACAAAGATGACGTCAAAAAGAGTTTTGATTTATCCTTCTTTACTACTTTATAGTTTTACAAGGCCCAGTTAAACTTCACCGCGTACCGACATTTACATCTCTCCCCCGTGGGTCGTAAATAATTTTTGATAAGTGTTCTACTTTAGTATTCTGCTACATATACACTAGCTGTGCCCGTGACTTGGTCCACGTGGAATTTAAAATGAATAAAATTTCTAAAATAAAAGAGCCTAAGTTACTCCTTATTACACCAGCTATCTGCCAGTGATAGTTCCGTCAAAATCGGTCCAGGCGTTTCAGAGATTAGCCGGAACAAACAGACAGATGGACAAAAATTGTAAAAACTGTTATTTTGGTATATTTTCCGTGTATACATCCATATGCATTTAATATGCGATGCGATCATTACATAAGGCACTACATTGATTGTGACTGCACTACATCGTTTCCGTTAACTTAATTAATATCCACTTATGTATACAATTTTAGTTATAAAGTTTTATTTATAAGTTAATAATAAATAGACTAGAAGGTCATACTTTAAATATTACGATTAAATCAATTCGTTCAAACTAATAATTTTTTTAACAATTTCACGTTTTTGAACAGGGCAGCCAACATAATATACAAATAATATGCAAATTCAGAAAAATGTTTGGTGGTAATATACCTGACAGCAAAAAATATAACCATAACTACTTATTTCGATTAACCATACAACACAAACAAATCATTACCGAGTGCTCCGTAACATATGAGTAACGGATGCTTCGTAAAAAAATCCGCAGTGCATCGAACGCAATTTGAACCTTTCCGTCATAAAATTTGAATGCGAATTTGTCTGGCAACCGGCTAAGGCCGTTGAAACAAACACGGGCCAGTGCCGCGACGCACATGCCGCCGAAATTGTCCAATCGCCGCTGACCCCCTCGCGCACATTTTGTGACGCACCACCCGTGGGAATAGGGGCGCTTTTCGCTCGGCGGGGGCTCAGATAGTTTTGCCACGCGCAGCCGAGGCTGGGGCGCAGAAAGGATTCAATGAACTCGCATCTGACCGACAAAAGGACGTTTCGACCTGGCAGGTAATTAATTTAATATCAATCACTCCTCGCGCCGCAAATCAACTTGGTCTCGAATTAAATTATGCACCGACGAAGCGATACACTTATGAATTCTAATAAGCAACCTTAACGTTCGCAAAAGACATTTTGAAATTTCATGTGGGCATACGAAGTTATTCCTACAACCATTGATGCTGTGTTCTTCGAAACATACTTTAACAAAATTAAAACGTAACTCAACGAGTTAGGTCTGTAAAATTGTTTGATTTATTAGTGCTGTTTTTAGTACTTTTTTTTTCTTTCTTTAAGCTATTGCATAGCTTTTATCGCGGGCATTGAGGGCGGCGACCTAATCAAGAAATTCTGTAACGAAAATAAAACCTAACACCACCCACTCCGTCTACCATGTAAGTGGAAAGATTTGATTGTTTGTATGCATTGAATAGACTCCGAAACTGCTGAACCGATTTGAAAATTTCTTTCACTGTTGGGAAGCTACATTATCATACATAAGCTATATTTTATTTTCTAAAACTAGGAATCCTTACTAAAACTTCAATAATCTAACCCAAACAACAACCACAAAAATATGTACAAAAAATACCTAAAATATTCTTTACATCACGTGCGCTGCGAAAACTATTGATGATAGAATAAAATAATGTACTACGAATTTGCAGAACACATCATTATTTACAAAAAGTGTCGACAGCAAATGTCTAACTATTATAGTTATGCCACAATAATTGTTCTTTTATTTAAAAATTTTGATTGAAATGCCGCCGCTAGAAAAGGCTCTTTATTTGTATCTTGGTATTAATCATTATAAAAATAAATTACCTCATATTTAAGACTGTTTCAATATCTTTATATAAATGTTTAAATTATTTAATTCGGACATTCCATTCGAAAGATATCCCAAGCTTAAAAATGTTAGTATATTGTAATTAACTATCCAAACAGCTTAGTAGTTCTTATCATTTTTGTAAATAATATAAATAAATTATATATAAATAATTATAACATATATTTATAATTATATTATTACTGCATAAATATAAAATAAATAGTTATAATCGCATAAGTTGCTATATTGACAAAACACGCTATGCAATAGCTTTACCGCGGCAGTCCACGAGTGCCACAGGCTTTATTCTTGTTAAACATTGCCCTTACTTTAGGACAACATTTTCCTGTGTTGTAAGGACATTTTACAAACATAAAATTCACGCGGAACAAAACCCAGATGCGAAACAAGTATCTATGGGCTCATACAAATAGTTGTCCCGTGTGGGGATCGAACCCACGACCCCCGACGCCGAGGTCATTACCCTGACAACTTCGCCACGGAGTCATCTAATAATTTCTTATATTTACCCTGAGACTATACATTATTACATCAAGCTATTCTATTTTAAATTTTAATTCCAAGCTTCGATATTTTGCTGCATTCATAGTCATCTACGTGATCAAGAATGATAAGTCAGTAATAGGTTCACTAAATAATACTGTTTCTTCTTAACTGTTACCGACATTTTGCCATTATTTTCTATCTGTTGTATAAACGTTGAATTAAGATGTTAGTTCTTGAATTAAAATACATTTGCTTTCTTGAGTTGTTATTTTAAGAGACAAAATTTTGGTGCCTTAGAATAACATGAATAGCAGACCATATCGTTTTATAACTACTATATCAACGGAACGTTTCGAATTAACTAATGACACCACTCTTAGCAACAAGGTACGCGAAAGGAATGTTATAAAAACAAGCCAATAAGGGTTGCTATAAGTGGGGTCACCCCGACCTTGACATCGAATATTAGCATGCTTGAGACTAAACCGAGGCTCCAATACAATTTAATAATTTATTTCATATGTTAACCTCATTTCCACATATTAAATATTAAAACATTGCGTTTCAACTGTTCTAAGAGAATATCTTTTTGTCAATATTTTTATATCTAATATATAAAGTTTTTGTGTCACAGTTTTAGTGTTTATACTCCTCCGAAACGGCTTGACCGATTTTGATGAAATTTTATATGTATACTAGCGGAACCGCAAGACGTCCTGTAAACACGACTGAAATTGTAAAAACAACTTATAAATAAGAGAATTAAAACAATGTAGACCGAATTGTGAATCTAAACCATTCTCGAATCGACCTGGAGATACACAAAATTTCATTAAATACATACACACGTACAGAACAATTATATACGTAACTAGCGTGCTGCCCCGGCTTCGCACATGTTCAACTTATTATACATATAAACCTTCCTCTTGAATAACTCTATCTAGTAAAAAAAACCGCATCAAGATCCGTTGCGTACTTTTAAAGATCTAAGCATACATAGGGACAGACATGCAGCGGGACGACTTTGTTTTATACTATGTAGTGAAGATTCAGTATATCAGAATAGGTTTATAACGTGTTTGAATAATAATAAATTTTAACAACTTTTTAAGTTACTAAACTAAGAGACTACTAAGCAGCTATTTATCTGTAATTCTTCAAAACCAATTTAATGTCATGCAAGGGTTTATTAATAATACCCTAAGGGTTAATGTATGAAAACAAACTATGTTCATCTTTTAACAATGATATCAGCCTTCAAACAGTAGGGAATATTCTCGAGTGGACTGACTCAAAAACTTCTTCACCCTGGCTTTAGATTTCTTTTTTCTGTTAATTTAGTGTATGCATTTTTCTATTTATGTAATAAATAAAAGAATTTATTTATAATAAATATTAGTATTTAGGAATACTTTACGAAGGTTTCAATATACATATTTAAATAACAGGCTGTATTATATAATAATAAGTGAACTTATTTTTGACTTTAATTACAAAAAATTACTTTTGAACAGCGCCTTGAAAGCTCGTTTATTGGATAAATCCACTTACGACTTATCCACTGACATTAAACAAAAATCATTTTACATTTTTTTTAATTATTAAAAATGCCAACGACAAATTGGAAAATGTCATCGTGTTAATTATTTTAGTTTTTCTTTTCTTTTGTACTCTCAAACTAAGCCCCACGTGGTACACCGGGTGAGCGGCGATAATCCGTCCGTATGTTCTCCCGCACGGGTTCCATGGTGTATCGATTGTGCTCGGGGTCCGCCCGCCCCCGCGCCGCCGCATTGCATCCAGCGCGGACCTCGTCTAAGGGCGCGTTCAGACGGCGCCACCGCAGCACATACTCCACAGTTAATTTATAGTGAGAGCAATACAAAAAAAAGGTTGAGTTCATTTATCAGACGGAACGCAACTTATGAATAATAAAACGTAGCTACTCTAGTTTTCTTAGACTATGGTATGTTCTCCACGGACTACCCGCAGATATAATAATATAATGTAGAAGCAGAAGAGCGACAACGATAGGCTATGTTGGACTCGCACCGATTAAAACTCCCACCATGATCCAACCAGGGTTAATACCTCAGCAGCCTCCCACGGTCATTAACCCCCTCCTCTGGGTAAGATGCGTTGACCGTAATGCGCGCCTTTCTACTCGGCCTCCTTTTTACGTGAAACTGACTTCGCTGTCGGGGGACTATGGGAGCTGGGAGAGCCACTGCTAACACACAACCTGTGCCTTCAACGGTGGACCTGGTCTGTGGTTTCGCCACCCACCACATTTCCGCCACTTAGGGAGAGCATCGCTTTACAGACGCTCCTCTGCGGCCCCACCACTGCTGCATCAGCGGCGCAACTCTGCTAAGTCGTGGAGGATAGGGAGGAAGCCCAAACGTAATACCGACCCTTCTTCCCCCGAGACTCCACGTCAGTTTCAGAGGACAAGGAGAGTGACTCCTCAAGTAGGGGCAATAAGCCCGTTTGAAGCGATCCTCTCAGTCCGGCCTCGGACCATCGTGGCGTCACCGTCGGTAACCAAGCCACGGCAAAGTCCTTCCACCACTAAAAAGCAGGAAGCTGCTCAGTGGCCTTTGCTAGCACCAGTGAGCTTTGGTTTCACGGTCGTAGGGCCACGCAGCAGTCTCGGCTGTTGCACGAGTGGGCAGGCTCGTCCGGGTAAGTACCACGACCTCACAGAAGACCGGCGTAAAGTGGAAGTATATTACTTTCGCGTTTCGTCTGGTGAGTGAGGTGGCCGGAGCCCAATTTTAAAAAGGTTGTCAACGCATCTGGATCACTCGGGTGTAACAGATGTCCGTGGGCGGCGGTATACACTTTACATCAGGTGAATCGTCTGCTCGTTTGGCAACTTTTCACATAAAAAAGCACCTGCCCAAAATCGCGGACAGTCCAATTCTTAAGAACAAGTCCCATCTAGTTTCGAAACCTTTTGCTTATAATTCAAATTCCATTTAATTCCAATACAAAAACAACGGAGAAGCACGTTGTGGCAGTTGTGCATGTAGTTTTACTCTGCGGATTTTTTTTTTCAGTATATAATTGTTTCACTTTGGCAATAAGCACATTTCCGTGGCCTATGTGGTGAACCGTGAACTGAGGAAATCGTGAAGTCCTCAAAAGGCATAAAGAAAAACTGTCTTACGATTCTAACACGCCTACATTTTGGTAACAGCAACGTATGGGATTGGGTTAACCCAAGTAAGCTTCCACGTCATCTGCAGGGGTATGGACTCCGTGATAGGATTCTTGGAGCTCAATTGAACAAGGCGGTGCTCCTCAATTCCACCCGCATCGTTTCATTCCCCCTACCCCACCCTTGGCCATTTCATCTCCCCTAATAAGGACTTCCGTCAGGTTGGGTTTAATTAGTTTATGTTAATACTATTCATTGTTGTTTATTGCGATTACGTAGCATGACGTATATGTCCCATTCGTAAAGTAAACGTTATAACTATTTAAATTATCTTTGAAAATAGGTACAGATAATTCATCGAAGAGAATAACGTAATATATTAAAAAAATTAAAAGAAAAATTTTTTGCAATTGATATCGGTGTTAACATTTTTCTAAAAATTTTCATACCTATACGGGGCAATAAATATTTGTGAAACGTTCAGTCATATTTATCTTTTAAACTATAGATGATTTTTTATTCTGATAATGCCTAAAAATGCCTTTTTTAATAAGCTATGTTTGTTAAACATCTTTTTTATTGTAATTTTTTTATATTATTCCGAACTATAACAAATGGATAAAGGCAATTGATTTGAATTGTTATACGAGTATGTGTGTGTAGTTCTCTTCTACTGGGGGTACTTTTGGCTGGAGCAATTACATTTTGTCGCCGACGTGAGCCGGGCGGCGTCTCGGCCGTCATAAATTTCCCCATCCGCTTTTGTCGTGCATTCGTTCACCACTACCGTGTCCTTTAAAAAACAAATAATCCTTTTTTCGGGCGTAAAAGTGGGGCAATAATTTAGTTATGTAACAAGCTATAGAGCCCCTGTGTGGCCCACCGAAATTTAGGACCAGTGTTAAGTGTGTTTAATGAATGTTATAAGAAAAAAAAATCAATCCTAAAACAGAGCAGATTTAACATAATCTCGTATCTCGTGCCTCATAACAACTTATTAAAAATCCAAAAAATCATCATAATTATTGTTATTATATACAGTTTTCTCAGTTAACATTTGATTTGTTAATGCATAATGTTGCCTTCTGAAAAGCTTCAAAGTCTTTTACCCGTTTTGGATTAAAACTTGAGATTAACTTGACGCGAATCTTTCTTTGTTGTTTAATAAAAGCGTGCGTCAAAAGGGGGTCCTAGGGTGATAGCTCTCGACAGTCCCTTGTTGTTATTGAGTTTGTTTGATCTAATATTGATTATTAAATATCGTCCAATTAATTCACTTACATCTCATCATAATGCATTTCAACATAATGTATGTTATATTATTAGCGAATTTAAGTTGTCTGTTTGCAATATTCAAATAACAGCTTTTTACTAAATGCATTTGGATGTATTCACGCGTATATATACCGAAATAACATTTTTTACAATTTTTGTCTGTCTGTCTGTTTGTTACGGCTAATCTCTGAAACGGCTGGCCCGATTTTAAGCTGATGTTAAGGAGTAACTTAAACTTCTTTTATTGTAGAAATTATTATATATAAATAGATAATATTTTAAAATCCACGCGGATGTAATCGCGAGCACTGCTAGTTGTAAATAAAAGATACTCACATCATTTAGTTATTATTCTGAACACTAAGTTATACGACTTGTCTAAAGAATGATGGCCTACCTTATTGTGCCATATAATTATATATGTATAAAAATACAACACCTTTATTTAACTCTCGTGTACTTCGTAACATTTACAGGGCATGCGCACAATCCACCCAAGCTTCGTCACAATCAGAATACGTAAGCGCTCATACAGAAATATTTCTAATACTTATTATACGAGAAACTTTGAACAATATGACGACCCGATTCGCGTAGAGGGATGTGAACCAGCCACTTGCGCCAGAGGGTGTGGGTTCGATCCACACTACTGGAAAAATATTGTGTAATGAGCATATATGTATAATATGTATTTATTTACAAAAGAAAGGTATGTTGTTTAAGCCCATAGCACAAACGTTGCTTTGTTTAGGACTAGGGAACATTCTGTGTAAATTTGGCAAAGAAATATTTATTCATTATTATTTATTATATACTCTCCTTCAACAACAATCGCATTTCCCTAAGTTTCTTTTCAAGCTGCATGCAAGTTTTTGATTTTAAAATGGTTTTACCTCAACCGAAATCAATTCAATTGTATTAAATTATTTAAATGTAGTTGCAATTTAAATAAAAGCAACTCGTATTATTTAATTATACACTATACTATAATATTCTATAATAAAATATATAAGTAATCATTATTTAAACATTTTTTAAAAAAATGATAATATATTTTATTATGCCATTATTATTTAGTCAATAAGAAAATGTATAAAAAGAAATATCTTTTACGTAAATCGCTTTTTATATTTAAAAATACATAATCTCATCTATAATATATTTTTGTACCATTGAGACAACTGACAATAATTTAAAATTTCTGCCAACCCTTAATTTGATTGTCAAGGAACAATTAATCATCGTGGTACTTTTTTTAAAAGTGCTCGTTTTTATCGTTAATGTCAGGTAAAGTCCGTATCCGTAGTTTATTTAACGATTGAATAACGTAATAGTGTCACTTGAAATTCATATTACCGTACGTTCTAAGAAAAAGTATACTTTTAATTTCCAATCGACCAAACAATAATGTAAGTAATAGTGTAATCATGTGAAAGTGTCAAAGTTTACGAGAAGTCTGGGAATGAGGACACCTATATCGTTACTTGACTTTCTAAGAGAGAGTGTGATGATAGTGATGATGATGATTGATTTATTACGTGATAATGATAAGTCATTAATAATGACTAAATTATCCTTGCTTCCTTACTAATATTATAAAGGCGAAAGTTTGCATGTATGGATGGATGTTTATTACTCTTTCACGCAAATACTACTGAACGGATTTTAATGAAACTTTGCAATAATATATATACATCAGAATAAGACTTAGGCTATATAATTTATACACATATTTTATGTATATCTGTCTTTCTTTCTTAATGGTACACCTTCAGCCTATTCTACGCAGACGTAGTCGCGGGCAGTAGCTAGTACTCAATATTGCATAAAAATGTGTCATAAAATGATGAAGTAAACCAGCTCTTATACAATATGTATATCCTTTGTTTTTGCGAATAATGTGTTTCATTTCGCGCGAAACGCACTGGATTATGTGAAGCGGGAATATTGGAACCACATCGCGGATCCCTCGTTCAACGAATCCTCGGACTGATCGGCCATCGGGAAAACCGTCGTAAATTGAGCCCCCGCCAGTCTGTCGTGTTATGGAAAGGGAAACACAAACGACTCAGTAAATTGGAACTCCGAGGCTCACAAAAATATGGTCAACTAGTTAGATTTACGAGAATTAACTGTAAGGGGCACTTCAATGCGATCTCTTGGCGGATTAGAGTTTTCGTATTAATATTTAACTGCGATAAATAAACGCGCAATAAACTATACAAAACCCACTAAAAACTCTCAATATTAAATAAAATTTGTGAAATAAAACATAGGTATATGTGGAGGGCAGTGAGATATCTACTCTCACGGCAAAATAATAAAATATAATTTACAGTATACGGAACATACAGCGTTTTAATGTCTGAGCTTGAATAGAAACATTTTAAATATATTCTTTAAATTACCATATCTCTAGTACAAAACCAATAATTACTTCAATGAAATTACGTATATGTGTTTAT